TGGTATTGTCATCACTACAGTAATATTATGGCACATCATACACTAAAATGTACCATGGTATTTTTATGATACCATATTCTTGCAAATCCCAAAGATCCTTCTAACATAAACTCCCAGCAGCTTTACATTCGTCCTAAGCTGAATCTCAATGGCAGCGTGTGCTTGTGATGACAGTAAATCAGTCTGTATTAATTTTACACCAGTAAGCAACAGCATTTGCTCCAGCGTTCTGACCATCCAGGGACAGTAAACACAGACGCAGCTGCTGCACACAAGCACTGAACGGCGCCAGGACGATCCGTGTTTACTGCTGATACCAGACAGACCAGACCAGTGATTGGGCCAATTTTACAATCTGTGTTTTAGGGAAGCCGGTTTCCATCATGGGGGAAAAAATCTGAGAAAAAAGTAAGAACTGTGAGATATATAAACTAAGAACTGCATGAAACCTTAAGAAATGAGAGATATAGGCCCGGTTTCACAGACAGGGCTTAGATTAAACCAGGATTAGGCCATAGTTCAATTAGGACATTTAAGTAATTTTTATTAACATGCCTTAAAAATAACATGCCTTAAAAAAAACATTACTGGTGTGCATCTTGAGACAAAACAAAGGCACTGATATGTTTTAAGATCAGTCAGTGCAAGGTAATTTCAGTTGAAACAGCTCAGAATTACATTTTAGTCTGGGACTAGGCTTAAGCCTTGTCTGTGAAACCGGGGGATAAACTTAGAATTCTAACTTTTTTCTGGCAATTCCGAGTTTTTTATCTCGCAATTCAAACTTTTTTCTTAGAATTCAAATTTACATATTTAAAAATCTCAGAATTCTGGTTTGTTCTTGCAATTCCGACTTTTCTGCGACTTTTCCGATCTCACAACCCAATTTTATTTTATTTTTATTCTGTGGTGGAAATGGGGTTCCATAGATTTTACCAGGAAACCTTGAATAACAAAAATGTGTGTGTTTGTGTGTATATGTATGCATGTATGTATGTATGTATGTATGTATGTATAGCATTATAGTGTGTGTGTATATATATATATATATATATATATATATATATACACACACACTATAATGCTCGTGTGTGCAAATACACACACACACACACTGTAATATGTAAAACAAATTAACAAGTAAGTTGTTGCAGGTGCATGGGTTTATAACATTAAAGTGCACTGGTATTTTCATTAAATGTTAACGTTTATAAAATGACCAGTTGGGTAGATTACTTAAGGTGACTAGTGCAAACATATGATGCCGTATACATACGCCTAAAGAACACTTTACAATTATTGTTAAAATTATACAAAACATCAAAGCACGTATCATCTGCGCTCATATGCTGCAGAATGCATTTAATTAAAGGCTGTTAAATGTAATCGAGTCATATGTGCTGGAGATCTGATCTTACCTTTGTGCTGGTCACTACTTCGCTCTATCAATCCAAATGCGTTCTAGTTGTTATAAACAAACTTTCATGAGCTCAGTGTCTCATATCCTGTCCATCTACATTCAGACCGCTACTTCCTCATCTGCCACTGACCTGGATGTCGTCTGTAGAAAAGTCATTCAGCTTTATCAAACGCGTCTGATGGATATTTTACGTTTAACTTTAAACGTTTAATTTGTAAAATGAGCAAACGTGTTCATTTCTCAACTGCTGAGCGCAAAATAAAGCGTGACTGACACACGGGTTTGTATCGCGCATATTCAGAGTTTTTTAATACAGTGTTTAAAGTTTACTTTTTGTTTGTTTGTTTCCATACAAGAGCTACTTTGCAGCAAATGAAGTTCAACGTGAGTACGCCGACTCTCAGACGTTACGGTTTCGTCATTACCAGCGCCACGTTGACTGGAATGCTGGGAAATTGAGTTTTCTTAAGGAAACGCTCACTTATTATTGTCTCTGTTTGGTGAAGTACAATGTCTCAAAATATTAATTGGCATATTTTAAATATTCACTGTCTAATTTCAATTAAATAGCTGTTAAATCACTATTTGGGGGTAAATTATTTTCCAGATGTTGCTTAAGTAGATTACCTTGTCATGTGTTTCCTGTTACTTTTCTCAGCGCTTGTAAAGATGGACCAATCAGGGGCGTTGGTGAATACTAGTGATGACGTTCTTAAAGGAACACTCCAATATTTTTGAAAATGGGCTCATTTTCCAACCCCCTAGAGTTAAACAGTTGAGTTTTACCGTTTTCGAATCCATTCAGCCGATCATCGGGTCTGGCTGTAGCACTTTTGGCTGTAGCTTGGCATAGATCATTGAATCTGATTAAACCGTTAGCATCTCACTCAAAAAATGACCAAAGAGTTTCTATATTTTTCCTATTTAAAACTTGACTCTTCTGTAGTTACATCGTGTACTAAGACCGACGGAAAATGAAAAGTTGCGATTTTCTAGGCCGATATGGCTAGGAACTATACTCTCATTCCGGCGTAATAATCAAGGAACTTTGCTGCCGTACCAACTGCCGTAAAACTCAACTGTTTAACTCTAGGGGAGTTGGAAAATGAGCCTATTTTCAAAAATAGTGGAGTGTTCCCTTTAAGCTTATTTTGCCGACCCCTGATTTAAGCAAAAGTACTTTCTAGAGTTTAAAAAATAAGGGAAAAAAGACAAACATCCTGAATTTTAAATGCAGCTCAATGTGGGATTTCTGAAGCGCCCTCTGAAGAAAGAACTTCCGCAACTCGTGAAAGTTTTTGGACATTTACCATAGTATTCCTTTAAGTACCAAGGTATTTTTTAACGTTGCATTTTTCTCTACAACCAGAAAAGCAGCAGTGGGTGATAATTCAATACAAAATACTAGTCAACATGTTAATTCTGCCTCTCACAATTTTCATATATTTTAGATATTGCATTGTAAGCAATTTTTAATATACTTCGTTTTGTTTTCAAGAATATTTTCTGCCAGCCTCATTTATGTGAAAGAGAATAAGACACTTTTACAAAGTTGTAAGTGTGTTTTAAGAAATATGGTCCAAGGAGACCCGTGCCATTTTATTGGTATTGCTATACATTGTTTTGATTATATTGTACAAACCCCTAACATTGAAGATATACATAACTGCAATGTACAACTGGTAACCAAGGCCACAATGAACTGTTAAAAACCAGGGGAAAGCTTTTGCCAACACCACTTAGATTATGGCACAAAATAACAGTAACACACAAAATTTTCAATGTATGCATATAGCATCAATTGAAAGTCGAAGAGCAAACATAAAATTAATAATTATAATAACAATAATTATAAAAAGGAAACAAAAAAGCCTGTAAGAAAAAATACAATTGAGAAAACTGTCGTCACTGAAGTTCAAACACAAAAAAGTAGGTTAAGGCTGTACCAATACACATTACATTTCCGTTTTTTAAGGTGTACCCAAAACTTAGCAGTACCTTCAGAACGAATCTAACTGCTATCAGCGAGCACCAGCTCATGTCTAACAACCATCCCAAGAACATTATCCATACAAACGGTGCCGTCTTTCAATTTTAGGGGCGAGTGGAACAAAAATGCTACATGGCTTTTCCAATGTTACACTGGAAACACTGAATCGGGTCGAAAATTCAAGTTTTTAGTTCTCAAATGGGAAAACAAACATTACATTTTCAGTAGTAGCAAAATATGATCTCAGTTCAGCACTGTTAAAATGGCATATTTCTGTAATTCCATGTCGAACACCTGGTGCATTCTTGTTCTAAAAAAAGTCTCTCAGTAAAAATGAGATTCAGAGAGATGCACAAACCATAAAAACTATAAGAACACATCTGTGCTGACGTACAGGGTGCCACTAATGACTTTCCCTTTTACAGGAATACAAGAAAAACTGATGCTTGAACCCAAAACTAAAGGATCTGACATGTAATTCAGAGAAAAATGTACTTGATGCACAAAAAAAAAAAAAAAAAAAAAAAGGTGGACTGACAGTGGGAACAAGGCATTTGTATAAGAACACATCTGTGCTGACGTACAGGGTGCCACTAATGACTTTCCCTTTTACAGGAATACAAGAAAAACTGATGCTTGAACCCAAAACTAAAGGATCTGACATGTAATTCAGAGAAAAATGTACTTGATGCACAAAAAAAAATTTAAAAAAAAGGTACACAGTGCAGATACATTGTGATGGTGAAAAAAAAAGAAAGACATGAGTAATAACCAGCTTGGAAATGCAAACATTCTCTTCAAGGGTTTAAAAAGCACCAGATATGACAGCAATGCAACGTCCTCTGACTTAAAAAGACATAAAACAAACTCTATCAAGGTACTGTTCCAGGATTAAATGTTTAAAATCTCGATGGGCAGCACTTTGTTTGTACCAGAGTGACATTCACACTTGACTTTTAAACAATCCGACCTTTCCTCAGTTCATGCATCTCGCGAAAGCTTCGATGAACAGCAGAGTTAAATACTTTGTAGCATAAAGAAATTGATCGCTTTATCTATTCCTATTATTTTATGTCAAGAGGTAGTCAAAAGGCACTTCAGAGTATCAATCGATTTGTGTTCTTTGAAGAAAAGGCACTCACATTTGGGTCAACTACTCAAAATCCTTTAGTACCTGCAGAACGGTTTCTGACGCCTTTTCTCTTGTTCAAAGGACAGCCGATGAAACGAGTAACATCTGCAGTTATTCGGTTAATGTCTGTCCTTTATAAAGATGAACGTAAACCCTCCGCTGGCCGACCTGGTCCTCATTTACAAATCAGGTAAATCTCACAAAACCTGGCAACAACATGTCCATTTCATATTTCACCCCAAAATCAAAAGAAAAAATACAATACAAATTTTCTTCATGAAAATGCATAAAGAAAACACTTATTTTTAGGACTTTTTTTTTTTTTTTTGCATTATGACATTATATTGAAGATAATTAATCAGATTGCTTCCCAAATCTTTTTAGTGTAATGCAAAAAAAGAAAGAAAAAAGCACAGCCTTTATACTATTTTAAGACTGTTTTAAGAGTAAGGACAATAGCATCTTCTCTTGCATTATAATAAGAGTTTCGGGTTCGTGAAAATAACATGCAAAAGTAGTCCTAAAAATAGCCTTCATTTTCTTTATCCAAAATATATATATATTTTTCCTTCTGATTTTAGGGTAAAATGAGACATTTCTTTGTGAGATTCACCCTTAAATCATTGTAAAATGCTGCATAAATGGCACACATTGTCTTTCATGACATTCTTTCCCATCAAAACTCATTCACATTCCCTCTGGAGACACAACAAAGCTTAAAAGACATCTTTGATCTGTATATGCAACAAAACCAACCCATTTTGTATTTAAGGCATTTAAAAACAAATATACAAAAACTTTTTTTTTTAACAGAGTAATACTATATGTTTTATGTCCTCAAAGACTCGAATTCTGTACCAGGTTTAGAACGAAAGCAAAACATTTGGTTTTTTTGTAACATTTAGGCGTATTCCTCCAATGTTTGGACAATTTGGCATATTCCTCCATACGTGTGACGGAGAGACTGTGCAAAGCACCAGAAGTCTGTTGTAAGAACAGCTGGCGGCGGCGGGGGCTAGTCTTTAATGAGCCTATAGACGTGGTATTGTGCCCCGTGTTCACTCGTAGACACTTCAAATACAAACGCTATACACAGTAGAGTCTCCTGGGTTTCCCTGTCGGTCACCACCTGCAGCAGGTCAAACAGAGAAGAAAAACACTCAACATCTCTGAAGACAGCTTTTCTATTACAGGAAAAAAGACGTTCAATTTTGACTAGAAAATGCAGATTGTAATTATTATTTCCAAACAACAAATATAAAAACAAAATGAGATATTACAATATCATTAATTTTGTAAACTTTATTTTATAAAATATTTATCATTTTATATTGTTTCCAATAAATTATAGAAAAATTTTTGACCATTTATTCTGATCATAAATTATATATTACTATGAATATCAATATAATGTCAACATGATTGTGATTATTATTTTCAAGCAATATACAATAACAATAAATTATATATAACTACTATTTTTTATTATCATATCATCATCATTAAATAAGAAACATTTTCATAATTATCTGATAATTATATATTTAGAAAAAATGTGTGTGTGTTTTAATTTTGTAAAGTTTTATAAAACATTTATACTGTGTTATAACGGTGACAGTTTTTTTTATCATAAATTATATATTACTTTTATTAAGATTAACATTATCATCAACATCCTTATTACATTTCAAAATTATATATTTTCATAATTATAATTATATTATTGAAAATATTTATCATTTTATTTTGTCTTTCCCATCAATTACAACAATTTCTTAAAACAACTTATTTAATGAATTCAATTAAATCTAGATGATTGATATGCCTCTTTTTAAATGTGTTATAAAAAAGATTTTTTCATTTCTTTAAAAAAAACAAAAAAAAACACATTAATACATGTAAATATTAGTAAAATATATGCTGTATGTGTGTGTCTTTATATATACATAATAAATATACACAGTACACACATATATTATGTAAACAAAAACTTATTTTAAAACTTATAGTTGAAGTGGAGATGGATTTCATGTGAAGCAGCATTTACTGTAAACCAAGCCGCTCTGAGATGCTGCAAACACCTCATCATGAGCTTCTCGAGTGTAAAAAAAAACACAGTGCACAGAGCTTAACTCTGAAACATGCGGCATATTTATTTAATTAACTAACACACTAATCCATATCATTATTCACTCAACTTTGTAAATAAGCATATTTGTGGAATGCTCCTGTCTACTCACAGAGTCCTGGTCCTGCGGGACCTCCATGAACGCGGAGTACTCCAGAAGGCGCAGTTTGGAGGAGGCAATAGTGCGATCCTGCCACACGGGCACTGCGGTGGCAACCGGCGGGAGAGGAGGGGCCAGAGACTCATACGCTGCACAAACACAAGGGGGCGACAGTTAAGACTCAACCATGCACATAAACGGAAGAACCTGAAGCAGGGTGGGCTGTGCTCGAAATGAACTATATACTTACCTAAGGGTGGTTGAACAGGTCCAGGTATGTTTGAGTAAGGAGTTTGTGCAAATGGCTTGATGCTGAAAAAGTGTTCAGGATTTGTTAGAATCAAAGTTACTTGTGCAAAACTTGTACTCGTTACAAAGTGCACATGAAAAGATCATTTACTTGGGTTAAACATTGCCTTATCAGGGTTCCCACACTTTTTGCCCATTTCCAATCATTTGTAATTACTGGATAAGGATTGTTAAAAATCATTTTGATGAAACTGGTTTGTAAATGAATCATTTAGAATCAACCAGAAAATGATTCACTCACAAATCAAACATCAGTTTGACTTGTAAACAAGCCTCATGCTAGACAAGAGCAATATCCAGCTGATTATTAATTTAATACTAGATATTAATTTAATAACTACAATAACTAGAAAAAATTATATTCACTATAGAAATGGACAAGATTTTCAAATATATACTCTGAAACTAAAAATGGAATCAAAATTTATTTTTGAAATCAATATTTCTTGTTCACATATTTATTAATTCAGTATATAGTTGTGAGATATACAGTATAGTGGACAATAAGCCAGTCATTATTGCCAAAATCAAGACTCCTTTGCTTCACATCAGGGTCCTGATCACCCTGTCTGTGGTTTATTTTGTGATAATGACTAGCTGACCATATAATATACCATATGTCACCAGCTGTTTTTAAACAATCGGCCAATATCGGCTAATTGTTTTTATCGGATGATACCGATTATTGGCCGATACATTGTTGCGTCCCTTCTTTCTTGTGCTGAACACAAAAGAAGATATTTTGAAGAATGTTGGAAACCAAACATAAACATGACAGGGTGTTAAAGTCTTCAATATGAAATATTGGTGTTTTACCTGTAAGATGGTGAAGTTTTCTAATACACTGTTCATCATGTATTTCTCAGGCAGGTGCTTGAGCTTGTGGATGAAGTTGATCATATATTCGCACATGGGAGAACGATGGATCCGATACAAGCACTTCCCTCCCTCGACACGAGCGTACTCTGTCTGTAAATCCAATAAAGCACGCTCAGATACGAGAAACACTAGCGCTTTTCAGGCAATTAAAGGCTGATCTTACTGACCTCCACTTTTTCCACCACTTGCTTCCCAAAAGAGCAGACTTTGGTTGAGACGGTGATGGTCATGTTCTCTGAGCTGTTGTACTGACTGCTGACTCCGTAGAAGGAGCCCGGTCCATCCTGAACGCCGCTGTTGTTCAGATCCGCCTGAGAGAGAAAAACTAACTCAGTACTGTGGTGCAAGTGATGCAACAAGCAACTAGATTCAAGCTGCACGATTTAAGGAATCATTCACATTTGTAGCAATAACAAGGCAGGTACACTGTGTGTCAAAACACCACCAAAGTGCTTTTCTGTGAAGGTTTACATCACATAAATGACATGCACACACCCAAAATTTGACGAGGAAGAAGGCGTTTTGAGGGCCCTTCTCGTACAGCTCCTTGAGTCCTCCTGTCTTCTCGGGGAACTTGTCGTAGATCTGTCGGATGTCCACCGCCTCCAGCAGAGGGTCGCTGTAGGAGGGGTTGGTCTGGCCAATGTGAACAAACAGGTGTTTGCTGTACTGTAAAAGGAAATGTCATATATATTGTGAGCCGTCTGCATTTCTGGATGCAACTTAAGATTCACTAATAAAGCTAGTCTATGCCAGTGGTTCTCAACTCCAGTCCTCGGGACCCACTGCTCTGCATATTTTGTATGTTTCTGAGGCTACGTCCACATGAAGCCAGAGCTTTCCCAATCCAATCTTTTATTCCCCTCATCTCAAGAAATATCTGCGTCCACACAAACCACGAAACCGACACAAAACGATGTAGTATACATGCCAGACCAGTATGTGGCGCTGTAATTCTGCCACAGAGATACACTAAAAACGGAGAAGAAGACTTGGACTATGCGCATAAACCTTGGAAAAAGTGTTCAGGATTTGTTAGAATCAAAGTTACTTGTGCAAAACTTGTACTCGTTACAAAGTGCACATGAAAAGATCATTTACTTGGGTTAAACATTGCCTTATCAGGGTTCCCACACTTTTTGCCCATTTCCAATCATTTGTAATTACTGGATAAGGATTGTTAAAAATCATTTTGATGAAACTGGTTTGTAAATGAATCATTTAGAATCAACCAGAAAATGATTCACTCACAAATCAAACATCAGTTTGACTTGTAAACAAGCCTCATGCTAGACAAGAGCAATATCCAGCTGATTATTAATTTAATACTAGATATTAATTTAATAACTACAATAACTAGAAAAAATTATATTCACTATAGAAATGGACAAGATTTTCAAATATATACTCTGAAACTAAAAATGGAATCAAAATTTATTTTTGAAATCAATATTTCTTGTTCACATATTTATTAATTCAGTATATAGTTGTGAGATATACAGTATAGTGGACAATAAGCCAGTCATTATTGCCAAAATCAAGACTCCTTTGCTTCACATCAGGGTCCTGATCACCCTGTCTGTGGTTTATTTTGTGATAATGACTAGCTGACCATATAATATACCATATGTCACCAGCTGTTTTTAAACAATCGGCCAATATCGGCTAATTGTTTTTATCGGATGATACCGATTATTGGCCGATACATTGTTGCGTCCCTTCTTTCTTGTGCTGAACACAAAAGAAGATATTTTGAAGAATGTTGGAAACCAAACAGTTGACAGTAACCTTGACTTCCATAGAATTTTTTCCCCCATGGAAGTCAATGGCTACCGTCAACTGTTTGATTACCAAGATTCTTCAAAATACCTTCTTTGTTGCAGAAGAAAGGAACTCATTCAGGTTTGGAACAACATGAAGATGAGTAAATGATGATGGATTTGCATTTTTGGGTGAACTGTTCCTTTAATTTCCAGTCCTACAAAACACAAATTTCCTGATATCTTCCAGTTGTCTATGACCGTGGGAACCCTTTGTTATTGTTTTTGCTTTAAAGGTGGGATATTTCACACCTCAACATTTCACTTATCCCACAACTGTTTGTTTTGGCCGTATCAGCCAAGCGTAAGTTCACCTACTTCAGAGTGGGAGTGTAATATGACAGAAGTCATGTGCACTAGCTCACGTCTGATAACACACATGCTCAAGAGATCTCAGCAAAAGCTGAGACCACAGAGCCAACGATGTAGAGAGGAATCAGGCTGCCAGTGAATAATGTTGGGAATAAAAACCAGAACCCAGACAGAGCAGCATACTAAAATCTGTCTCTAATGGCATTTCCTGCACCCCTACTGAATCTACATTAAATCTAACCACGTTTTAGCCAAACTGTGAGCTTGAAATCTGAAACGAATATGATGAAAAAGAGTGGCTGCTACAAAATAATAAGAGTTCCCTACTTTTAACAACCAATGAATTTCCATGACTTTCTCAGTTGTTTGCGATTACTAAGCATTGCAAAGAGAAATTCCTAGTCAATTCAATAATTTAGAGTTAAGCATCTAGAACAGTTTATATTATAGAAATGGATGACTTCATATGGATGACTTCGTAACTTCATGAATTTATTAATTTCCATGACTTTTTCAGGCACAGGAAGTTTCCTGAAATTATTGCAATATTATTTATTAGTATATTATCATGTATTATTATATAATTATATATAAATATTTCTATATTTTCCATGTGCATAGCAATCTTGTGCTCAAACTGGTCTGGCCAATGTGAACAAACAGGTGTTTGCTGTACTGTAAAAGGAAATGTCATATATATTGTGAGCCGTCTGCATTTCTGGATGCAACTTAAGATTCACTAATAAAGCTAGTCTATGCCAGTGGTTCTCAACTCCAGTCCTCGGGACCCACTGCTCTGCATATTTTGTATGTTTCTGAGGCTACGTCCACATGAAGCCAGAGCTTTCCCAATCCAATCTTTTATTCCCCTCATCTCAAGAAATATCTGCGTCCACACAAACCACGAAACCGACACAAAACGATGTAGTATACATGCCAGACCAGTATGTGGCGCTGTAATTCTGCCACAGAGATACACTAAAAACGGAGAAGAAGACTTGGACTATGCGCATAAACCTTGCGCGGGGTATACAAACGAACATGGAACAATACATTTATTAATCTGTGTTAATGTTAGTTAATAAAAAGACAATCGTTCAGTGTTTGTTCGTGTTTTTGTTGCTGTATTGTAGTTTTTACAAAGTACAAATAAATTTGAATAAAATTATTAAATTATTATAATTTAAAAATATTTTATTTTACAATCCAACTGTACAATTGCAATACTAATATTTATGTCTAATATTTGTGTCTTAATCTTAACATTTTCAAACATTAAACCATCTAGTTTTCATTTTGGTTGGAAAACTGCAATGAGCTCTTAAAGATTCTTTTTTGTTGGCAACAGCCGTTTTTTTAACGTGCTCATGACAAGTTTGTAGCGCTGTCAAATGATTAATCGTGATTAATCGCATCCAAAATAAGTTTTCAAACAATAAACAGATGCACCATTTTCACCAGCTGTCCACAAAAAACTGATTTACAAACAACTGACTAAGATGGGTTTTTTTCCCGTATTCAAACCAGCATTGTTATTGTTAACAAACTATTAAAAATACTTTTTTGTTAATTGAAGTAAAGCTAAAATAAAATATAAAAATTAGATGAAAGACTTAAACTTAACGAAAATTAGAAATGTTGCTTTGGCAACTAACTAAAATAAGCATTCAAAATATCAATGAAATCTATAATAGTATATAAATAATATTAAACTAACACTCTCTTAAACTCAAGAGATACTAGTTTGAATCTGTCAAATAATAAACAGTTGGACCTATTATACTACCTTCAAGGGAATCTGAACCAGATTCCCATCCCTAGCAGTGAATCAAGCTAGCGAAAGATCAGTTCAAGCTCTGTGGAGGGAACTTACGCGTAGCTGGTGCGGACAAGCCCAGGACTTCTTCCTGGATTGTGCTTAAGAACCAGCCTGATACATAAAAACGTGATCCATTAAACGTGCCAAATACACAAACACACAGATAAACACGTATGAATTCATGAGTTACTCACTCCTCAGAGGGTCCAGGTTGACCTGGGATGGGGGTCGGCCAGAACTGGAAAAACAGCAATGAAAATAAATCAAATTGCTCTATAATTTGTGTACAAGGTAACTTCCAGGTTAAATACAATCTTAATTGTACCCGTGCAGACAGGGGGTAAGGGGACTGTGGAAGAGGCGGAAGAGGTGTTTTGATTAGACTTGGGGACACGATCTGAGCGGAGGAAAGTGCCGCCATGTTCTGGAGAGCCTTGTCTTTGGACGCTTGATCCTGAGGAGACGGAGACACAGGTCAGCAGAATAATCCAGAAGAAAATACAGACAAAATCATTGTTAATTTTAATTAATGCAAAGCAGCCTGCGGATTTATGATAAAGTAAGACCAAAAGCATTAGAAGGGGAAATAATAGGTGATCAGAGAGCACCAAATGAATCACAAAGAGAATTAGATTCACATTTACAGTGTTTGCAAGACAGCGATGGAAAAGTGTTAAAGCTTCAGGTAAGTTGATGTTTTAGGCTTCACGTGTCTGGTTTTCTTTCAGGTGTGCATGAAAATCAGCACATAGAGCTGCAAAACCATCTCTACGGCATAAAGGCATTAAAAAAAAAAATTCACAATACAATATACAAACAGAGTCAGACAGAAAACCAATCGCAAATCAGTATGCAAATATTTTAGAATGCTGAACTTTCTAAAAAAGCATGTCAATGGGAGATTTCAAATTCTCAAAATTTATTACAAAATAGGCCTATAATATGTCTATAAAAATTGAAATCGGATTTTAGAATGCTGAACTTTCTAAAAAAGCATGTCAATGGGAGATTTTCAAATTCTCTAAATTTATTACAAAATAGGCCTATAATATGTCTATAAAAATTGAAATCGTACAGCAAACCCAAGGCCGAAACTACTGTTAAAGCAAGTTCACCCAAAAATAAAGAAATTAAGATTTGGAGAAATGTAGCATTCCATCACTTGCTCACCAATGGATGCTCTGCAGTGAATGGGTGCCGTCAGAATGAGAGTCCAAACAGCTGATAAAAACATCATAATAATCCACAAGTATTCCACACCTCTCCACTCCATCAATTGTGAAGCCAAAAAGTAAATTTTGTAAGAAACACATTAGTCATTAAAATGTTTTAACTTTAAACCATTGCTCGTGGCTGAAATATGAGTTCGCTATTCATAATATTGCTTTTTCCAGTCAAAAGGTCATCTCGTCTGAATCAGGAGAGAAATATGCACAGATCAAGAACCATTTACAAAAAAAAAAAAAAGTCCAAAACAGCTCTAAAACAAATGTGTTGATATAGTATATTTTGATGCGAGGACAACAGGGGATGGACTTTTTCAATGAAGGAAGCGTTATCATAGACTTTTGGCCAGAAAGAACAGTTTTAAGTTAAAGGGATACTCCACCCCAAAATGAAAATTTTGTCATTAATCACTTACCCCCATGTCGTTCCATACCCCCAAAAGCTTCGTTCTTCTTCGGAACACAATTTAAGATATTTTGGATGAAAACCGGGAGGGCTGTGACTGTTCCATTGACTGCTAAGTAAATTACACTGTCAAGGCCCAGAAAAGTATGAAAGACATCATCAGAATAGTCCATCTGCCATCAGTGGTTCAACCGTAACGTTATGAAGCGACGAGAATACTTTCTGTACGCGAAGAAAACTAAAATAATGACTTTATTCAACAATTTGTCTCCTCTGTGTCTCTCCGAATCACCGTAGCACCATTTTGGAGAATATCCGCTGAACGCAAACTGCGTACACTATTCTGTGTCAGCCGCGACACAAGGATACGTTTT